CCCTGAAGGGCCACAGCTCTTCTTTTTTACTGATGCTCGCAGCATGGCGAGTGAGGGGCAGGTGTTTAAGCTCTGTTTGTGTTACAGCTCTTTCAGTCTTGCCATTTGGGGGGTCTCGAGTTCTTTCCCTACATTCAGGAAGAATGAGGTACATGGACAACTGGAGGATGAGCAGGACGGAAAGGAGACTTATTAAGCAACAGAACAGCTCTCAGGAGACCCAAAGTGGGTAGCTCCTTTCTGCAGGCAGGTCATCCTGATGAGTGTCCAGCTCTCAGCAGAGAGGAGACCCAGAGTGGTGGCCCCTTTCTGCAGGTGGTAGTCCCCATGTCCGTGTGAGTCTGTCTGAGTCTGGGGTTTTTATGGGCTTCAGAAGGAAGAAAGTGAGTGCTGATTTATCCATGGGCAGCCATGGGCAGGCCTGGACCCAGAACTGGCAGTCTGGTCCCCAGGCTTCAGGCCTTTCCTGGCTTGAAGGAGGGGTTTCACCAGGGACCCACCCCTTTCTGCCTAGGAACCTGTCTGCCTCCCACCATCATCAACATGTCTTCCATGACACCTTGGCTGTTCATGCCAAGGGGCACCTGCAGGCCTGCACTGCGCTGCCCTTAGCCCCACTGGCCTCCATTCTGTTCTCATTGGCACTTAAAGTCTGGAGGTGGCTGAGGCATTGGGGGGCTGCTATATCAGCACCGCCCTGATTATGCAGACACCCAGCTTGGTTGTGACAGTGTCTGGGCTCAGCCACAACTTTGCTCCACCCTGGAGCCGGCACTAGAATTGGCAAGAGGCCAGAGAGTGGGAGCAGGCACTTCTAAGTCTACAGGGGCAGGAGGGGCTTCCCAGGCTCCCTAAATGCAGGGAATGCCAGGGTCTGGAGCCATGGCTGGGCAGCTGCAGCTGCCCCCAGAACTGCAGGGCACCCGTCCCACCAACTCAGTAGGGGGCAGGGATCCTGCCTGTTCCTGCCCCCGCTGGCTTCATGGAGCACACGGTCCTGGCTGCATCTCCTCTGCTGCAGCCAGCATCTTCACAGCAGCCACTCCAGATGGGCCGCTGCTGCCATCAACAACAGTCCAAAAAAGAATAGTTAATATTGCTCTTTAGTTGCCTAAAGTAATGCATACTCCTGTGACAGGTCATCTCATTTATCATGTTCCATTGTGGCTTACTTGCCTCGCCAAACTTTCAACCTCCTTTGAATACTTTCCTGTAAAACATCAGCTACTGGCTGATTGTTTTCCACTTTGCTGTTCTTATGACCAGTTTTTAAGATCAGCTCCTCCTGCTGTTTCTTCTTCTTCCTGCTGGTACCTAAGCTGCCCTGAGAGCATTGCATTTAACTGTTGATGTACAGTGAGTCAGTGACCCGGAGCACTCAGTATTCTCCACTTTCTCATGTATGTTCCTGACTTCAGTATGTCTGTGACTTAACTGTTTCACTTGGCATGGCTTTTGCGTTTAATAGATTCAGGTTTTTATTTATGAAGCATTTTGGTGATTTGCTTGGGAAAAACGATCTTTTCAGGAATTCTATTTTTAAAAAGGCAACTTACAGTTGCCTTTTTATAAATTATGATTTATAATTTATAACTACTCATTCAGGGTGTCCTTTAGAAAAAGTTAACCTTCCCAGTTAATTATCAATAGTGGTCACTACCTTTACATCACAATTAACTAGAAAAATACTCAGGAGTGAATGAAAATATTTGTATTAATAAAACTACTCAGAAGCAGCTTAAGGAAATTCTGAGATGTTTCTTTTTGATTAGTCTGGGGCAAAGTCTTTATCACCACATGCTGTCAGTCACTACGAAGTTTCTGAGACACTCTCCTGCTCTCCCTCTATTCCGCGGCTCCTGCTCAGAGCAGATACCATTACCATATCCCCAGAAACCTCCCCTCTGATCATGGCCCTGGTTTTGCCAGATGGCTCTATTATGACGACTGCAAGACTTGCGCTGTCAGATTGTCTTTTTGCAGGTAGGTGCCTGCTAGTGAATAGATTGTTACATCCTAGTGAGTGAGAGGACCTGGTGTAGGCAGTCCTGGAGTGGTAAGGCCTGTGTTGTGTATTACAAGTTTTAGATCAGAGTTACTGAATTCGTTACATTGTATGCTTTGTTTCTGTGGGAAGCTTCTCTATCAACCACTTCCTCTTTTCTCTCCTTTTCCTGTTCCCTCCCCCAACACACACGCCATACACCCCTGAAATTCATATTATACATTAGAGTAATCTGAGTTCCTTTAGTGCTATAAACTTTCCAGTGCCTATATAGATGTCAGTTTTTAGTAGTAAACAGTCATTTATGGCTGTTTGTTCTATCACTAACATAAAATCCATAATGCAATATATATTTTATATAATAGCATATAAGTGTATGCACGCATCGTGCCACATCATTTGGTCAGTGTAATGGCAGGAATGCGACATATTAAAGATGGACAGGAAAAGTCTGTCACTTGTAGAACAACCACAGGAGTCTGAAAATATCACAACTATACTAAACAAATTTTCGTTTGAAGAAATTCTTCCTGATTTTACAGAATCCTGCATTTTAACTTTCACATAACACATATAAGAGATGTAATATATTCTGGGATTCTATAAAATATTCATGTTCATGGGTTTTTTTGTTTGTTTTTTGTTTTTGAGACAAAGTGTCACTCTATAACCCAGGCTGGAGTACAGTGGCACAATCTCAGCAAACTACAACCTCTTCCCCCCGGGCTTGAGTGATTCTCTCACCTCAGCCTCCCGAGTAGGTGGAATTACAGGTGCGTGCAACCACGCCCAGCTAATTTTTGTATTTTTAGTAGAGACAGGGTTTCACGATGTTTTCCAGGCTCGTCTAAAACCCCTGACCTCAAGTGACCCGCCCACCTCAGCATCCCAAAGTGCTGCGATTACAGGCATGAGCCACCACGCCCAGCCACATGTTCACATTTCTGAGTTTGCATTAGTTCAAAACATCAGAAAGACCAAAAGCTTAGAGCTGAGGGGAGTTGGTGGGGGGCGGGGCAGGGGAAGAGTGCACAAGAGTGACCACATGTTTGTAATTTCACCCAGTACATGGATCTGGAAAGATCCATAGTTACATGTAAGTGGTTCTTAGGATAAAACCTTTGTAGCCAGCCTAGGCAACATGGCAAGAACTCAAAAAAAAATTTTTTTTTTTTTACAAAGTTAGCCGGGCATTGACAGTGGCATGTGCCTGTAGTCCCAGGTACTTAGGAGGCTGAGGTGAAAAGATCACTTGAGCCTGGGAGGTCAAGACCACAGTAAGCTGTGATTGTGCCACTGCACTCCAGTGTGGGCAACAGAGTAAGACCTTACGACAAACGAACAAACAAAAAACCTTCATAGTGTCTCCACAGAAATCTTCTCTATGTTTAGTGCTGATTTTAGAGCTATTATCCTCAAGAAGCTTTGCTGAACTGGCTTCTGTATATGTATCAGTTGCAGGTAGGAGTGCCTACTGCTCCTAGGTATGCTTCTGGAAGCAAAGATTCATGCTGTGGCAGCCCTGGAGTGGTTGGGAAGTTTAGAGTGTTACCAGCTTGAAGAATGCTCTTGTACCATAGTTGATCTGAACAAGTCTGTAGATAACTGTCAGCTTAAACTTCTAGGCTGAAAGGCAGAATGACCTGGTAGAAAATGCATACATTTTGAAATCAGATTTGGATTTAAACTCTGGCTTTTCTATAAGTTTGTATAAGTTGTAACCTTTAGCTTATTTCTCTGAGCTTCAGTTTCTCCATCTGAAAAATTCAGGGCAGTTATGAGGAATAAATGGAATAGTATATCCAAAAGTGCCTGGCACTTGGTAAGGAATTAATAAATATTATTCTCTTTCTCTCTCTTTCCACTACTGGAAAGTAGAGGATTGGGGTGAGTAACATCTGCAGTGACTTGGTTTGGCTCCCCTTCCTAGTTTGACCTGCCAACTACATTTTCAGGCAAAGTTCTTGGAAATCATCTGTTCTATCCCCAGTGAGTTAGAGAACAAGTACCTAAGGAAATTGCAAGCCTGGAGAGAGGCTAAGAGAGACAGTTCCCGGGCCTTCTCTGGGAGCTGTATTAGCTCCACACTTTCCTGTGTGATACTTGGTGCCACACCGCTGAGACAATGAGACTGCACATTATTTATTTACTTTTTAAGATTTCTTAACTCAGTGTGAACATTTTCTTTAATCTCATCTAATACAAAATCCAGTTGGAGGTTATAAGAAGTTGATATATAATCCATACTTTTATTCACAGGTGATTGATCTTTAGCTAGAAGCATTTACAGTTATACTGCTTTGAAATTTTTGATCAGCTTAAACAAGAAAATGACATTTAAAATAAATTAGTTGGACAGAGGTCACATAATCTATTGACTGTGTGAAGAGTTAGGATGCGTGATCCAAAGGCCTCTGATATCCTTTTAAAATGTCCTTAGGCTCAGTTATGCAAAGTAAAAGATAAAGGTTTATTTTTAAAATTAACTTAAAATGTTATTGAAATAATGAGAAATTAAAAGACTTGATGAGCTCTAACACTAAAGTATCTGCATTTATTTCTTTAAAATGTAACTCTGTCATGTTTGAATATGTAGCTCGCAGTCTGTGCTTTGAATAGCTCATAGTTTGGGCTCATAGCCTGTCCTGGAAGACTCTTCCTTTAAGTAATCCCTTCATCACGATAATACTAGGTATGGTATTCCTTTCACCTTCTCTTTTTCCAATTAAATTTTAGAGCACGCTAAAACCCTGGAGTCATTCTGGAGTTAAATAGACTATAATATCAGATTTTAGATAAATAGCATAAAGTAAAACTAGTAGGATGTGATATGAGTTTTTTAAAGCCACAAGTGAAATTTATCAGTAGTTAGGGTATTATCTTCAGAAATATTTGTAAATATTTCCAGAACTAGTTTCAGTTTTGGTAGTGAAAATATTCACTTAGGATACAATTTTGTAATTGTTTTTCTTTTTCTTCTTCTTTTTAATTTCAGGGTCAGCCTGGGCCTCAGGTAAGATAATTCTTTTCTGGCAAATAATTATTTTCAATTTAGAATTTTTCCAGTGTGGAGGTCTTTCTGCAAATCTTTCAAAAGATATAAAAAAGCTATGAACTGGTAATCACGACACCACACAGTAGACCAAATATTTCCCAGGAGTAAACCCTTGGGGCCTCTTCAGGGTTGTGTGAGCCACATCAGCTGTTGGGCCAGATGGCAGATTTAACAATGTACTATCGTATAAAGCAAAACTCTTAACTGATCTGAAACAGTGCCACAGGACTTTAATGTAAGACAGCATGACATAAAAGTCGAGTCTGAACTGGTTTGCATTATGTACTGATTAATCGTGTACTAATAATGTTGTGAATCCCTGCAGACTCTGATTATTTAGACTGTGATCCTACCAGCTACTTTTGATTCATTACAGACAGATATTGAATTTTTAATTTAGAAACAACTGCCAAAGACATGATTTATAATTAAGCATGAATGCAGTCAACAGAAAATCTTACTGAGCCCTAAATCATATTGAAGAAAATAAGCAAATTTTAGGAAGGGGAGGAATGTGGTATGAAGATGGAAATACAAAAGAAGAAGTGAGTTTTCAGAAATGAAAAGTCAGTACAAAAAACTCAAACAACAAATTCAATATCAATACTAATTATAATCCATAGGATTCTATAGAGAAGAAAATGCAGTTATTAATGTTTTACTTTTAATACTCCAGTGCCTATAAATAATATAATTACTTACTGAACTCATCTTCCATCGCCTTCCCCTTGATGTACTGAATGCTATTTCTGCCTTAGATTGTTTCACAAATAAGCCATTTTCATGATAGCTTTGTAGTCAATATCATGAATTATCTATTGTGTGCTCCACCTCATACCAGATCACAAGAATATTATTTATGGTTTGTATGATCTCTATATATAGATGTCTAATGAAACAAAAAATTCCACATACTTCAGTAAACAAGTTCTTTTCACACCAAGCTTATGAGAAAGTTTGACTTTTAATTAATTTGTATTGATATCTGAAAATACCTATATTCTCATCATTTGTGATTTTCACTCTTGTATTCCATGTTGGTTCAAGGTAATTATTAATGGAATAAAACCCATAGGAGAAAGTTATAGCTTGTTTACTAAATTTGAAATAACCATTTTATAATGGAATGAAGACAAGTAAAAGATGTTTTGCATGGTTTCTTTTGTTTTTTGGGGGTTTTTGTTTTGCCTTTTTTTTTTTTCTCTGAGACGGAGTCTTGCTCTGTCACCCAGGCTGGAGTGCAATGGTGCAATCTTGGCTCACTGCAACTTCCGCCTCCTGGGTTCAAGCGATTCTCCTGCCTCAGCCACCCAAGTAGCTGGGATTACAGGCACCTGCCACCACACCCTGGTAATTTTTGTATTTTTAGTGGAGATGGGGTTTCACCATGTTGGCCAGGCTGGTCTTGAACTCCTGACCTCGGGTGATCTACCCGCCTTGGCCTGCCAAAGTGCTGGGATTACAGGCATGAGCCACTGTATTCAGCTTGCATGTTTTCTTTTATTTGATGCTTACAACAGCCTTGGAAAGTATTATTAACCTACGTGTGTGTGTGTGTATGTGTGTGTGTGCACGCGCGTGTGTGTATAAACATACAGAAACAGAAGAGATAAATTACTCACATGAATAACACCATGAACTGGGAGCTAAACTGAAGTCTGTATCTAAAACCCTCATACTTTGTAGTGCTCAGCCCTTGAGAGAAGGTGGTGAGACAGCCGATGATAAAAGAAGTTGAAGAGTTGATTTTGAGAGATCGTAATCTTTAACATACTTTAATTATTAATAGGATCTCTGTCTTAGCTGTACCTTCTTTCCTGCATCCCAAAGCAGTTCTTAAGAAATTGAGCATAAATAATTTATTTGAGAGATGATCCTAGAAAGCATCATGAGAGAGTGGAGAAATGACATAGGGAAGGCAACAACACCAAAAAATGGGTGCCTCAATTTGCAGGTTACTACTGTGGACAATTGGGGCTCAATCCTGCTGAGGAATCTTGAGAGACTGTGTAGAGCATGTTGCAGAATCATCCCAGAGAGGGACAAGGAAGTTGATGGATTTATCCACTAATTTCCCTGCCTTTACTGTTGAGGGTCGCAACTGGGTGCTGGCTTTTCAGCACTCCTGGCCTGCTGTGAAAGCAATTTAGGAAGCCATAGCGACGTATGGGAACTGTATTCTAGCACTGTCTTAGAGCAGGTAGTGGTGGACAGGCACCTACATGTGCCACAACATCCAAGTGTACGTGTCTTATAGACAAGACAGAGTAGAAAATTCAGATATGAATAGAAAGACTTGGGAAATTAAATATAAAGGCAGCATTAAATGCATAGTAATTAATAAGATACTAAAGAGAGTAACTGTAAAAAGAAAAACAGTCATAGTAAATCTTGAGTATACAGCCACAGTTAATAAACAGAAGAAAGGTCATAAACCAACATTGGAAACCAAGAATGGACAGGACCAGAAAAACCGTGGATGATGGTGGCTGAGAATGAACGTATATCATGACACTTCAGAACACCTTCACATAAGGTCCTATATTTACTATGGCTCTGCAGAAACATAGTCTGCCTAACTGCCTATGCTGGAAAATGTTGAAAATTTGCAAGTAGGTTGGAACCAGCATTTTCAAATGGTCCCATTCGAAACCTGCTCTGGTTTCCTTTGTTTTGGCTACCAGTTTGCCTTTAGTGGATGTGAAATCTCATGATCATTTAGTTTAAAATGTCTTCCTCACATCACAGTAAAAGGAAGTCAATAAATTGAGGAAGGATATTTATTGACTTTTCCCTCATATGAGGGAAAACATGAAGCCAAGACATACCCTCACATAATCTTTCCACAGCTCAGAAAAGAAGTGAAGAGTTGTTGTTGTGTACCCAAGGAAAAGCCTGGCCTCCCTCTTACGCCTACATCATCATAATATTTTTCCAAAGAAACTTCCATTGTTAGATTTGAAATTAAATAACTCTTCATGAAGTTTTGCATTTGGTGCTTGATAGTCATTAGCTTTTCTCTGATACTCTTTAAATTATAGATGAATTTTGTATAGGCTCTTATCCATCTGTATATTTTGTTTTCCCTATTACCTATTGTAATGTGTTACTTTCCTAACCCCTGCTCTGCTCTTGGGAAATTTTCTTTTACAAAAAACGTGGACCTTAAACTGACTTTTAAAAAATTACTCTTCAGCAAAATTAGTTTTATTTATTATTTTTTTAACTTTTATTTTAAGTTCAGGGTTACATATGCAGGATGTGCAGGTTTGTTACACAGGTAAACGTGTGCCATGGTGGTTTACAGCACAGATCATCTGATCACCCAGGTATTAAGCCCAGAATCCATTAGCTATTCTTCCCAATGCTGTTTCTTCTCCAAGCCCCCACAGGTGCCCAATGTGTGTTGCTCCCAAGCCCCTACAGGTGCCCAATATATGTTGCTCCCGACAATGAGTCATGTGTTCTCATCAGTCAGTTACCAGTTATTAATGAGAACATGTGATGTTTGATTTTCTGTTCCTTAAATAGGCTTTCAACCACAAAACAAATTTTATCTATCATAAATATGAGCACTTAGAAATGATATATGTGGTAGATTTGATTATAAATATCTGCAGCAGAGTTTTTGTATTTTATAGTTATATCTTACATTAACACCTTACTATAAGCCTACTTTTTCTTTGAGTAAATTTATATAAGCTGTACATTAAATCTGTTTAGCATAGATCTATAAGGTAAATACATACAGTGTATTAATGAGCAATATGCATTTTAAACCCAAATTAAAGGGTGAACGCGATGGCTTACACCTGTAATCCCAACACTTTGGGAGGCTGAGGGAGGCGGATCACTTGAGGTCAGGTGTTTGAGACCAGCCTGTCAAAATGGTAAAACCCCATCTCTCCTAAAAATACGCACACAAAAATTAGCTGGGTGTGGTGGTGCACACCTGTAATCCTAGCTACTAGGGAGGCTGAGGCAGGAGAACCGCTTGAACCTGAGATGGAGGTTGCAGTGAGCCAAGATAACTCCACTGCACTCCAGCCTGGGAAGCAGCTGAAGAAACAAAAAAAAAAAAAAAAAAAATTAGAAAGTTGTTATGGGTTTTTAAGTTGTTGAAAGCTTTCGTTTATTTGATCAAATTTTTCTTAAAATTTCCATGTTCTGTTTACTTGGCTCACTGAAAATTATCCTTTTCACATACAGTATATGTCTAGTAACAGGAACTTGAAATTTTGTCTTTTCTTTTTTCCTCTTCTTTTTGTTGACTCAAAATGATACCTACTTTTTTCTTAAAATGTCAACCCTTTTGATTTCTTTGATTTTATAAGATTTCTCACCTAAAATGTCAAAACTTTTTTGTTATTTATGTACAATTCAGTATAACTGGCCTGATAATTCTGTTCCTTTCCAGCTCTGGGTCTCCCTAGCACATGCTGTTAGCTGTGGGAAAATGGAAGGGTATGGACATTGCCTAAACTTCTTCTTTCACTCTCCGTCTTCTTTTGCAACTAGTTAAGGAAAACAGCTTGTCATCTGTGCAAGGTTTCTACAAACAAATTCTTCCTTAGCCAACCCTTAAATCCACATTTCCCACCCCTGCCTGAGTCATGGCCGTGCCATTCAGACTTTTCTTAGCCAGCCTACTGCCACCGAAAATCTACACTTCTGACTTTCAATGGATTTTTCATTAAGACCCTATTACTAATAATGGTCTGTTTCTGTTGTACAATGGGGATTTCTTTTAGGTACTTTTAAGAATAGGCTTTTGTGGATTAGGCTGGGAAAAGAAACCATATTCATATTGTGATTCCTATGGTAAGATATAATTAGGTTTCCAAACAAAATACTTCCTCCAAAAAAGGGTTGTAAATGTTTAAGTTGGGGGATTGATATGGTTTAGACCTGTGCTCCCACTCAAATCTCATGTGAATTGTAATTCCCAATGTTGGAGG